AATATTCAACAGATTGGAAAGAGAAATATGTCTGTCCTTGTCGTTCAATAGTGTTCTCCTTGTCTGTTACGTCACGTGTATCTGTCCCTGTCGCGCGGTATAGCGCTCCTTGTCTAACAATAGTTGGGATACCTCCTCGCACGTTCTATGTTCCTGTTACATTTCCGAATTTCTGGTTGCAATCCAACAGATAGAAACGAGGATCGAAATGTCGTGCGACGAGGATAGACACTGAGATTAAATGCAGCGTTTTACCGCAATGTGATCATAGTATTTCATTGTTCATAAATCAAATAAATTTGCATAAACACCTGATTAAGAGAATTAATTCTTATTGTTTATGATTATGATTCAGATACAAACTGATCAATTAGTTTATTGATTATTGTTGCATTGAATGTTAATACGAATAATAGGCACATACTTACTTGTGCTAATTTTGTAGAAACGAGATTTTATTTTGTATAACTTGATAACGATTAATGTATTATAAATCGGGAATGATTATTAATATAGACTCGCAAAACTTTGTTGAAAAAATAATATATTTATTGATATCAAATAAAAATTATGTACACTTTATATGAGGAGAATTTATATTTACAATTGTTCCCATCTATAACGCACAGAGAAGATATTTATAAATATAAATATATGTGTATATACATAAATAATTATACACAGACTACCTTAATTAATTTTTACACAAATATTCATCGATAGTATTACAATATTATACGATATTTTTGTCAAGTATAGACTTGCAATAGTACAAACAAGAAAATTTTGCCTTTTTTTACACCATATTGTAATGTTATGTAATACGTTATGTAATACGTTAACAAAAAAAAAAAAAAAAAAAAAATATACATTGTATTCCTTACAAGCGTATACGAAAAAATTCACGATTACTCGGTTCACTGTTTATAAGAACACATTTGAAAGAGACATAGGAATTTTCGTAATAATAAATGGTGAATTTTTCAGCGAATATAAAAAGAAAGAAAAACGAGATTTACGCAATAAATATATATGACGTCTGAATATACCTATTCATGGTATCGATAAGATATCACAATGTAGGAGTGAAGTCGGAAAATCTCTATATTTCTACTAAATCGAAGGGCTCCTAATAAAAACAATCATGTGAAATTCTTTTAGATTTTAGATAACGGCGCGTTCTGATAATCAGAAGCTGCGCTTGCGACACGATGAAATTGTTATTACGAAAAACGATCTACGTCTTGACTGATAAGAAGATCTTTGTCATTTATAACATGATGATTTCATGGTAGCTCTTCCGCGATACAATTATAGAAAGAAATTGAAATTCAACCTTCAAGTGGTATCGCTGTAGTATAATTTGCGTTGTATCACGAAACTTTGTATTTTATATTCTCTCTGAAACAGATTTTATTAATAAAATTGAATCATAAAAAGTTCTTCAAAAAAGTAAGCTTAATGTAAGACCTTTACTTTTACGGCTGTCAGTGTCCAACGATACCATTTAAAGATTAAACGAGATTAACATCGAATAAAAATTAAAGGTATTCTTTTGCTTTTTTTTTTT